CCCCCCCCCCCCCAAGAGTGGATAAGTGGACAATGCAACTACCACAGCTTGTCCATCATCTGAGGTATGAACCTCACAGGATTCCTTAACCTAGGAAATAGTGGACTACGAGTGATGTCTAAACTGTTTCAGATGGATGGGTCTAATGACAGTGTTTCTTCATGGCAGGTGCTTCTCTGGAGTAAATTCTTACATGGTTAACGGTGCTTCCTGGGTAATCCCACAAGTACTTACTGAAAACTTGTATTTGATCTCAAGTCATAATGGCAAATAGTGATCTCTTTGATTGTTGCAAGCAAATATTACTTTGAGTCCTTTAAGCAAGGCACAAAATTGATCACGTTCTACTTTTTAAAAAATCATTCTATGTATAGAAAGGAGTGCGTGATGTTTAAACTGGGGCTTGTAGTTCTAAATACTTTCTGGCTGGGCCTTCCAATTTCTGCTTGTTCACCATTTCACTGTAGTAAATCTCAGTTGTGATATCAACTAAGGAACTTGCCTAGCCTATTACATTTCTGCTGGAGAGTACAAACAATATTTGTGTTTTACAGGTTTAAATGTAGGAGAGGCATTCTGAGAAAATTATGCTGCTGCAGTACATTCTCCTTCATCTATTCTGGTAGTGTTGCTCTTGCTGATGATGAGGATGGTAGCAGCATCTTCAGAGTGTTATATCTATGCTTCAGAAGGGGATAAAGCTTGGGGTGAGTGGCTTCTTTGGTCTAAGTACTGTTAGGCCATGCACTGGAAAAGAAATAAGCAGAGCCTGGGGATGAGATCTATATCCCAGTGCTTTTCAGAGAGTAATTTCCTGTTGAAATGAGAAGGGAACTTCCTTGGAATGTAAGTTTTGTATACGGGTTCTTATATCACCTACCAAAAACACCTGCTGCTTTCCACTAAGGGAGTCTAGGCTGGATATTAGGTGAGATGATTCACTTGCTGATTTCTGATAGGGGCACTCTTTGTAACAGAAAATCAATTGATAACTTCCTATCATTAACTAAATTAATCTTTCTTTTATTCCCCTTTCTCCTTATCTCACCATGAAAGGAAGATTCTCTGTTAAAAGGAATGTGGCAAATTATTAGGGCTGTCTGTATGAAGGATGTAAAGCTATCAGTGGTGGACAGAGAGGACTTCTTAGCTAAGAAATTAGAGGAGGAGCTTCAAAAAGGATTGCACTGTCACTGTAACTTCAAATAATGTCTTCCAATATAATTAACTATTGATTATTGTTTTACTCTTAATGTATAATTATTTCTCAAATTTGCCTGTCTATGTCAAGGCCATGGATAGAAATGTATATACTGATTATTTTGTCTCTTGAGGTACTATCAAAGGGAAGGTATTTCTCCATATTTTAACTGTCAGGGTCAGCTGGGGATAATTAGCCACCAGCTGCTCTGGAAGTATACATGGTTATACATGTTCCACATCTACCAAAAGTCTTTTGCATACTAAAAAAATTTTCTGAACTTGAACCAAACAGAGTGACTTGGCTTAGAATACTGTAGTTTGGGTCATTAAACTATGGCACCTGTCATTTGAAAAGCAGCTACAAAGACTACCCTGGAATCCAGCTGGCCACATTCAACTGCCATAGTCTAAGTTTATTAGCTGCAAACAGTAAAAAAAGAGCAACATTTTCGTAGAGAACTTTATATATATTTCTTTTTTTCAGAAAGCTCAATTTATGAAAAAAATATCTCTTCTCTTTCAGATGTATGAACTTCTTTGCAAAATGATCTGAGGTATCACTAGTGAGATTAGCTAACAGCTGCAGGATGGAATTGTTTTGCTATGGATAGGTGATCAAAAAATATACATATATATATTATATATATTGCAGTCTGTCAGCATTATACTCATTAGTAAGGTAAGGTCTTTCAAATGTTGACCAAAGACTAACACTTCTGATGATATGATGGCATTTATTCTGAGATTACGAACAAAAGTAGTAAGATACTGCAGAAAGAAACGATAAATAAAGCACTTCATAAAATACAAATATGTGATGGATTTGGTTTCTCTTGGCTTTGTCCTGCTTTTATTTAGTGTTCAACTGCTTTGCACACCTTCTGTGGAATCTCTATCCAGTTGGTAGTTTTCACATTAGAGCACAATACACAAGTTCTTGACAAGATACATTTCATCTACTTGCTAACATGAATAATTTGTTTTCAAATAACATTGGTAATTATCAAAAGACTCTAGAGAGAAACTTAAGCTGTTCTAAATTTGTCTTTAATTTGTGTTTTGCTTTTGTGATGTCTGAATTCCTGTTTCTTTCACAGTAGTTTTTAGCACACAAGTGTCTGTTTTCAGTCACTATAAGCTATGGGGTCCTTACTGCAACAGAAAGGGCTTTCAGTAGAGAAACCTAAAGAGCCGTAGTTAATTTGAATTTCTCAGGATTTCCAGAGAATGCTAAAGTCACCTCTGGACTTAAAAATAAATAAATAAACAAAAAGTGTTTTTTTTTTTTTTTTAAAGTAATCTTATGCCCCAAAGGTAAAGATCAGCTAGGTTTCCAAAGAGCTTTGGCTGACATATACAAATGTAGTATAATTAAGTGCTATGAGTCAATGATGCTTCATATTTATTACGTGCCTAAAATTATGTTCATTCTTCAATTCCTTGCTAGCTGATATACTGCTGGATGATGCAAAGAGGAGATTCCCCACTAACTGTTTTGCTTAAACACAGAAATAGGCACAACAAATTGTGTGTATGTGTATATCTGTGTATTATATACATATAAATCTACAGGTAAATGCATATGTATATATAGTAATTGCGTAAAATTATGTATTGTAATTACAATACATTTTGTAATTGAGTGTATAATTCAATTACGTATAATTATTTTCCCTGTTTTTATCTGTATTTGCTTGACTTGATCTGCTATAATACATGAGTACAGCAGATTATCTTTATTTTGGCTAGTGGGTCCTCATTGCTAATTCACAATTTGAAATTCTAATCTGCATTTATGCCATGATCATACACAAGGGCAAGTAGTATCAGACAGAATTGGGGGAGTAGCACAGAGCTAAGCATCCAAAATGCTCTGAAACATTTCTGCTGATTTTTTTTTTTAAGTCATTTTTTAAAATTATTTTTATTCTTTGTAGCAGTAGGTAAGTGATATAATAATAAGTAGGGGTTTGGGGGCTCATTCTTTCCCTGGAAGGTCCGTGTCGTGCTGAGTTATTTTCTTTTTCCTCATCTATAGGGGCAAGCAAATGAAACAGGCTGAAGGTGCTGCTGTTTGGAAAACAGCTGCAGAGCTGTTGATTGTTGGCAGGGAACACAACCACCATCCCCATATTCAGCAGGTGAGAGAACTAGGAAGGAAATGAAGATGGTCATGAGCCAGATTTATGTTCTGTCTTCGTATTAGCTCAAAAGACTTCCAGGAACAAATCTGAAAGAAAGCAGAGGTGAAAGCTTAGTGTTAGCAGCTGATACAACTCCCTCATCATCCAGCTGAGGGAGAAGTGCGTTCCTAGTCTTCCTTCGGACTGTTTGAATATATTTTACCCCAGTCTGTCTGTTTTCTAGTACTAGGCTTTTGAGGGGTGCTGGCCATTTATGCCACCAGGATTTGAAAGGGAGTGTGGTGTGGTTTGGGCAAGGATGGGTGCACTCTGGTAGACCACGTTAGTAGTGTTTCTTCTTAAGTTGTTGTGAGCTCTTTCAGCAGTAGGCTCCTCTGTATACATTAGACAAATAGCAAATTTTAGGAAGTGACTGTACTTTCAGAGTCTGCAAAAGGAAGTATAGCCTCGCACAGTGCACACATGCAGTTATACACAGGGGCGGTTATTTTTTGTCAAAGTTATTTATTGATAATACTTATTATGAGCAATTGTACAAAATCATTTTGAGCAATTTGGTAACGTGCAAGTGATGTGACAGCTCTTGTAGTTTACAAAAAAAGACCCTTAAACTATTTATATATGTACAGCTGTTTTGCAGAAGTGGTCGCTTCCTTGAAGTTTCATCTACTCACTTGTGTGTTGGAAGAGCTTTTGGCGTTTAGCATGGTTGTTACCTTCTCTTGCATCTTCTGTACCAATCAGTCATTGAAAGCTGTTATAAATTAGTCACAGACTCACTCATGTATATCACTCAAGACAGACTATTTAGGTACTCCTGAATGAGCTTTTGCACAGCTAAGAGGGTCTTATGTTCTGCTTTCAAATGCTGTAAAATGAAAGTAATGGTTAGAAAAACAGCATAAGGATCAGCCTGAATATTGTGATCTGAGATGCTCTACAGGATTATTTCATCCCCTATTGTTTAAGTTCATTTTTTTCTGTTTTCCTCTTTTATGTCTTTCTTGGTAACAGTGGTTACATTTGCAGTGGTCACAATGGTCTCCCTCCATAGAAACTGTTGACCAAAGTTGTCTGCTCTTGCCTTGAGAAAACTCATGACCAGGATGGCTGTGTGCAATTGCACCTGTGATTTATGAGTAAGCGTGTAAAAAAAGATCCTGCATTTTCCTACCCTGTACATATGTGCCTCTTAATTCTTAAGATATCTGTGCTTTAACTATGTGCACACAGCTGACTCCTAGGATACACTTTGGTCAAAAGTGAAGAAAAGCAGCAGAATTCCAGTATTTTTCCGATATTCGTTACAAAGTTTTTCTCTTCGTTTAGCACTGCCTAACTGCATTATTTCTCTTGTGGTGCTAGAGGGAGCTCTTGGCTTATGCAGTCAGTAAGACATGGTATCGTGGACAGTTCTTGAGGAAACACAGATGGGAAATGTCACTGATAGCTATAATGCACTTTTTCCCATCAGCTGCAAAACAAGGGCTGAGTTTATCCACCTAGAAAATTACACATCTGGCTTTCAGGGGCACTCAGATAACAAAATGTTGTTCAGACGCTGAAGAAACAGAGGAAACACCTCTCTGTCATGGCTGGATTTATCTTCACAGCTCCTTGTGAAGAAATAAGCCCTCATATCCCTAGTAACATATGAGAAATTGTAATACTTTGTAGTGCATCTTTCAGGCTACACGTGACGTAGTGACTTCAACTGAACATCAGTCTTGTAGACAGGCAGAGACATCCTGATGTGCTGCATCTCTGTGTTCAGTCAGTTCCCTGTGGTGCAGATGCAGTGCTGTCCTTCCCAGCTAGCCAGATTTCAGCTATGAGAGAGGCTGCTGCATGGACAAAGCTTATCTGGAGCATACACTGAGAGAGCTCTCTGGGCTAAGAAGCATATTGCTTAAATCTGGGTTGTGCCCTCTTCCTGTTTCAGCCTCAGCCAGCAGCAGTCAATGAGCTGGAGGGAAGCTGCAGGGCTGGGCTCAGTGCGTATAGTCAAGGGGAGCCTGCAGCAGGCATCTCCCTGCATGCCTGAGAGACAGCTCAGCAAACAGCTGTGTTGTGTGGTTGAAGCGTTGGAAGATGTGTAATCTCAGACTTGTTAAGGTCTTCTCTGAGGTAATGGAGGGCACACCAGCCTAGTGAACCAGTGGCACCCCAGAAGTGCTTCAGCATGGCAAGCATCAGCAGTAGGCTGAAAGAACACTGCTGCTGGGGACTGAAGAGCACCTCACCAAGTATCCACAGGAAACATCAGCTGGAATGGAAGATCAGGAAAGGAAGTTGGTAGGATTTGTACCCTGAAGAGCCCTTACATGAGCAGTGTATAAATAAACTTAGCAATATGGAAGGTATTGCTGTAGGCAGGGGTTTGGATGGTCAGAGAAGAGGATGTGCCCAAGCATACAGATGCATGCAGGCACACTGTGTACTCATGCACAGCAGAGGGCAGTTTTCCAGAGCACTTGAGGAGGCTAGGAAGCATAAGGTAACATCCTGAAATATGACTGTTTCTGTTTTTTTTTTTTGTTTGTTTTGGTTTGTTTGTTTGTTTTTTAGCAAATTTAGTTCACTTTATAACCATTTTCTCTCAGATTTTTTGACTTATCAACTCCTCATCCTAGTGAGTGCTACCTGTCTTATGTTTAATTATATTTCATCAAGCCCTTATTAGCCCTTAGTTAGCAGGAGCTCAGCCATCGCTGTGGTGCTCAGTAAGGTTACTGAAGGTATCAAGGCAGCGCTTAGTAAGTGGGCGATCATATTCTTTCAGAGCCTGAAGAAAACACCTGGCCGGCTGGGCTTCGGCGGCCCGAGTTCTGTGTTGGTGCAGGCGTAGTCTGTCCAGGAGAGGGCAGCGATGCACAGCTGCTGGGGGCCTCCATAAACTGCCTGCGCTAGCCACCTCCTGCCCGGACCGCTGCGCTGCTCTTCTAATTGGTTTATTCTAAACATTAAGTGTTTAATGCGGGATAAACATGTATGATATCACAGTATGGAAGCGTGAGGCTTCTTTCACTCTTCCAGTTTAGGGGTGAGAGGTCTTCAGTGTTGTGATTTTTCTCTTTAATTCCGTGTCAGCAAGGAGGAAGCAATATCCTTCCAAGAGACTTTTGGGTGCTGTCAGGCCAGCATCGATGCAACTGGGAGACTTCACCATAATTGCCAGAGTGGGGAAAGTATGATATATTGGAGAGAAAGGCACAAATGGGTTGGCAGGTATTAGATATCACACAGTCATTGTTCAAAGGCCAGTCACAGTGAGGAGAGTTCAGAGCAGTATTAGAGTCAGTAACGTGCTGTCTTGATGGAATAGGTGTTGTTCAGGAAGCTCTCAGATTGCTGAAGATGAGAAGGCATTACAGCAAATTGACTTTGTAGATACCCAGACTTAATGACTGCGGTTTTCCAAACAGTAAGTGCTGGTGATTACCATGATTAATAGCTGAGCTTGATTCATGGAACAGAAGATATTGGATTTACCTGTGTGCAGAGGACTGAAGTTTTTCTTTTTAATATATTGCAACACAGTTGCATAAAGCTAGATTACTCACGCTCTATTCCTAAAGGATGAAGTAAGTACCAAGAGATGCTGTTATTTGCTCTCGTGTAGGTGACACTGCAGATAATCTCTGGCTGAGGCAGTCATGTTCCTTTATCACCCAAGTAGTTCATCTCCATGGACACCAATGGCATCATTTTTATTTAGAAAAAAAAGAAGAGCTGAGACTATTATAGCACATGCTACTCAGTATTTACAAAATGGTGGATGTCCTTAGAGCATGAGCGCAGTAATGGGTAGATACTTGAGGTAAAAGGATTTGGGCTCTGGGGAAGTATTTGTATAGGCGTTACAAGCAATGGAGAAGGTACATGTGGAATACATTCACGTCTTCACTCCTTATATAGCAGAGAGAGCTTTTGGGGCTGCACAAACTCTAACTGTATCTAACTGTAGCTGCCCCTGAGTGGCTACATTAGCAGAGATCTCAGGAGTGCAGCAGCAACCCAATCTTTCTGCTTTGCCCCAGGTGCTGTTTGCTGATGAGATTAGCATTAAGCAGAACAGTCGCTGTGAAGAAGTGCAGACTCAGACACTGAAGGTCTGGCTGTAACTTCACTTTTGAGGAGAGCAAGTCCCTAGAAGCAGCAACTATAAATAAGCCAATTGTTTTATTTTCTTTTTGTTTATTTTTTTTATTTTATTAGAACAGGCAGATTACTTTTTCTGAAGCTCTGACATCTCAGGTTCTTCTAGATAGGGTTGATTTCAGGTCTCTATTCACAGTACTGAGGTGTCAATATTATTCCTTATCCCCAAACATGCGAGATTGGTGCTGGCTGGTGTAGATATTATATGCTGGTATAAATATTTCTCCTGTCTGTTGTATTAAAGGCTTTTCTGGGGCAGTGAGTAGTGTCCTGAGACCAGGTCAGGTCAGTGTCTGTGACTAGGGGACCTTCCCCTGGCACCTCTTGCTCACTGAAAGGGCATCAGGAGTACAGAGGAGGGCAGGTGTGACAAATGCCAGCTGAGGGCATTGAAGGGAAAGGTTTTTGCTAAGCTGGCAAAGCAAGATGTTTTCTAGAGAGAGATGAAAGGATGTGGAGACAAAGCCAGGAAATTACACTGAACTAAACTGAAGTGCACTTACACAGATTAATAGCTGCTTCCCACCCCATATTTCAATGTCTTCTGCTCACAATAGTTTGCAGACATACAGAGCTGATTTTCTGGAAAGGCATCTTTTGACCCTTCTAACTCCTTTTCATTTTCCCTTAGATTTCAAGACATGGATTCAATTAAGAAACGGCTCAAATCTACATTGATGAGCTCAAACTCAGTTCAGGGCAAATGCAAAAACGTGCAGCCAGCACAGTCGTGTTTTCTGCATTGGTGGGATTCAGATCAGTTTAAGTGTGACAGGATAACAGCAGGAGAGTGAAGCAGAGTAATCTGGAATGAATCTACTTACATTCATTGTCTG